TGTGATCGAAAGCTGGAAATAAGATGATATGAAGAATGTCCAAAAACACATGTCATCCCTCCTCCATAGATTCATATCTAAAGATTCTCTCAAAGCCACAAGGGTCATTGAGGGACAAAATGGATGACAACACCTCGCTCTTCTGCCCCAACTCTCATGACCACAGCAGTCTGGCATGACATCATCTATGTTATTGTTGAAATTGAGAACCCAGCGGATTCCCACGCCACGTCTTGGGTCAGGTGGCTTTGGGTGTTTTCCAGTCCCTTTGTCTAGTGTAGGGCTTTGTTTGCTGATCTTTATTGTCTTTGAAAACATTATTTGATTATGGGGAAGAGCCTGCCTAGAGTAGGTTAAAATATAAACTCATTGTCAATGCAAAAAGAACGTTAGCTCAAGGGGAAAAGATGGCTGCCCAGATGATGTGATTTCCTGAGAAGGAGCCTAGATCTCAAAACAAAAGTACAACCCCTGCCCTCACACCCAGAGTCCTTCCTGGTTAATGTCTGACTTTTCTATTGCCACACTTAACGTCTTTAGCTAAACAGAGACCTATCTGTGCTCATGTTTATAATGAGGATGTTCTCTTTATCAGAAAGCACAAGTATCTAACTCAGTTATATTCAAGTTACAAGTTTAGAATCCTATGGGTTAAGTTAGGATTGCAAATTTTACTAAAGGGCTTTTTAAAACTTTGATTTGTGGACTATACCCTTGAGAGTATGTCTAGAGTTAGGCCTGAGAATTTGAATTTCTAGTAAGTTCCTAGGGGATACTGATGCTGCTGGTGTGTGAAACACTTTGAGAATGACTGGACTGATGGTTCTCGTGCTTTCTTCTCCACATTAACACTCCTGGTGGAGGATGCTTGGGATGGGATGCTGTCACCTGGATCACTAGGACAGTGGTTCCCGCTGCATATTAAAAGCACATGGAGGGGCGCCTGGGTGGCTCAGTCGTTAAGCGTCTGCCTTCGGCTCAGGTCATGATTCCAGGGTCCTGGGATCGAGCCCCGCATCGGGCTCCCTGCTCAGCGGGAAGCCTGCTTCTCCTTCTCCCACTCCCCCTGCTTGTGTTCCCTCTCTCACTGTGTCTCTCTCTGTCAAATAAATCAACAAAATCTTAAAAAAAAAAAAAAAAAAAAAGCACATGGAGCTTTAAAGAAATATGTCAGTCAGGATTGTATTTCAGACCAAAGAACCCAGAAAGCCTGGAGGTGGGACCCAGGCCTGGGTAATTTTTTTTAATTCCACAGGTAATTTTATTTTATTATTTTTTAAAAAGATTTTATTTATTTATTTGAGAGAGAGAGCACTAGTAGTGGGGAGGGGAGAGGCAGTGGGAGAGGGATAAGCAGACACTCCACTGAGAGGAGAGCCCAATGGGTCTCCATCCCAGGACACTGAGGTTATGACCTGAGCTGAAGGCAGACACTTAACTGACTGAGCCACCCAGGTGCCCCTCTATAGGTAATTTTAATGTGTAGCCAGGGTTAAGAATCTTTGTTCACAAGAGTTCCTTTGGTGGGGGTGGGGGGCGTGAGGGTGGGAGGCAGAGATTCGTGTTTTAACACCCTTCCTGCACATATTTTTGATACATTCCCATGGGGTAATATTCCTTCTGCCCATTTTGTAACCAGGTTGAAAATCCCCAGATGAAAATGTCCAAAACTTAAGGCCTGGACATGGCATTCCCTAAAACGAAATGGTCAGGGTCACATATCTAGAATTCTTTTGTGATTATCGTTCTCCTTTTTTTCCCCGCCCCCCCTGTAATTGCATAGGAGAAGGTCACATACCAAGTTGGGAGCTGCAGTAAGATAAAGGAGCTGAAATAAACATGGTTGATTCCTTCTTGTGGCCTCTTCTCCTGCCCCCACTTTTACCCATATACCCTCCTTCTGTACTTGCTGATACCTGGGCCAGATGGAGGGCTGAACCTCACTGGCAAAGACAGATAGCCTATAGCACCCTGAGAACTTCTCATACCTGATGCAGGCCTTTTGACATCAAGGACGTGGACCCCAGAAACAGGCGAAGTCTGAGTGGGTATGACGGTGAAGGCCCCCTGGCTCACAGGGAGGCCTGGAGCCAAAGGTGTGGGACCTCTTAGAGTAATTGGATCAGAGATCAGATGTTGCTAGACAATGATGCTAAAACTCAAGGTTTCCATTCCAGTATTAACACTCCCTAAGTGACTAAGGGTAAGCCATCTGTCTTCCCAGAATCTCAAATTCCCCCACATATATGGTTAGGAAACACGATAATTTATCTACCAGAGAGGTATTGTAAGACCAACTAACATGTTCTTACATAATCATAAAGCAAAAAAAGAAAAATGCTCATACCACAGCTCTATTCTTTGGATTAAAAAATACTGGCATTTTTAACTTCATGATGTTTCTAGATGTCTAATTCCACCTAGGAATTCTAGAATTCATAGTTCTGTAACAGTACTTTCAATACACATACATATGATTCAGACTTCTGCATAATAAGCAGTCCATAAATATTTGTTGACTAAATGATGGGTGATTAATCAGTTGATTAAATGAAGGCATTTTCAAAATCAGATGTACCACTAATAAATAAAATCACAAGCTGTTTTTCTAAATGAATAACTCAGTGAATACTTCCTAAGCTGAATTAATTACCACAGTCTACAACAACTCTACATTAGAGATATTAAATATGTAAAATATGTAATAAATTTCCAAGTTAATCAGTTTACTCGTGCCTAGGCTAAAATGGTCAGGGTCATGTACCTAGAGTTGAGACAGCAGAAACCGAAAAAGTGACAACTATATTGATGAGATCCAGTGATTCCTGCTATGTTGTGACCAGAAGAATGTAGCCCCAACACCCCCTGCCCTGCTCTACTTTTTCTTGTTTTTCATAGCATTTAGCTCCTGCCAACATAGTATATAACTGACTTTATATTATATAAACCAACCAGCCCTTAGAGTTCTCATTTGTATAGTGAAATATCAATTTTCTTTAATCTTCTATATTTTCCCAGATGATCTCATACTTGATAACTTAAGAGCCTTCTGGATTTCAGGGCCCAGAAAGAAGCTCATCTTAAAAAAATGCAAATTTTAGGTGACCCCAAGTTTAACTGGCATACAATGTGTTTCTGAAAAGTCAAAACCAACATTGTATTATGTATGGCCCACAGGACGTATGGAATCTAGCTCATAGAAAATAATGTTTCGGTGTATTCTGCATTGGTCAGAATGAACTTAGAATATTCTGTGTTCTATTCTAGACAACATTATTTTGATGAGACAGGCACAAGCTGGAGTGATATCAAAATGGGCAGTCTAGGCAGCTCTCTGGAAATTTTATCACTTAAAGAAAAATGGAACTCACTGTGAATTTTCATTTTAAAGACTATAAGTGTTAGAGTGGGCATGATAGTTGATAGTTCTGGTAGAGAAAAGACAGTACACATAGTCTTAGCCAGCTCAGGCTTCTGTAACAAAATACCATAGACTAGGTGGCTTAATTAACAGAAATTTATTTCTCACAGTTCTGGAAGCTAGAAGTCCAACATCAAGGTGCCAGCCTATTCAGTTTCTGGGCAGTGTTCCTTCCCTTCTCTGCTCACTGTGTGCTCACGTGGCCTTTTCTCAGCACTTGCGGAGGATAGGGCTCTCTCTATTCCTTTAAGGACACCAGCCCTACTAGATTAGGACCCCTTCCATATAACCTCATTTAATCTTAATTAAGTCCCAAATTCCCTTTGTCCAAATTCAGTTACATTGGGGGTTAGGGCTCGAACATACAAATTTTGGGAAGACACAATTTAGTCCACAGTACAGTCTGTTGCCCTCTAAAGTAAACATATTGGGAGGCATGTCGTAACTCACTGTAAGAAAACGTTCTAGCTGAAGCTGTTCAACCATAAAGCCAATTGCCCACCCTCTGAAGCTGTGGCCTTCCTATCACTGGAAGTCAGAATTCAGTTCAGAGAACCATTCTCACAGTGATGTTGGGGAGGAGATTCCTATAGTGAATGGAAGTGTAGAACAGAAGACGGCTAGGGGCTCTGCAATTCAAAAATCCTACCATATTTAAACTTTTTAAAATGTTGCTATTCTACTAGATTCACCCCAAGTTGTCCTCTCAAAGGATTGAAACCATATGTGGTTATTTTGGCATAAGAAGAGAAGTTCAGTAAAAGGCTTAAAACAACAAAATTCAAACAATTTTGGATTAAGTAAAATTTCACAATTCTTGGTTTTGCAGAGAGCAACGATATGTCTATGATTCTCATCTGGATTGGCTTGGGTTTCTGATCTTGTGTGGGGTTGGGAGGAAGTGGTTTAAGTAAATTCTTAAACTGCATCCCAAACACTGTGTGTTACCAGTTTCTTGAGAAACTCAAAAAGGTCATCCTGGATTCCATGAATAAGATCAGAGGTGTCTAATATGTAAGATCATTTCATACCTAGTGTCTGGTAACCTTTAGGTAGAAAGAGCCAAGAAAAAGAAACTAGATTAAGAAAGAAAAATAGGAATATTCTTTCACTACTTTTCTTCCAGAAATTACACAGCCTCCTAGTATGACTGCCAGATGTAGTAAATTTTTAATAAAAACTTTCAGTTCTGGATGAACCAAAAATACTTGGCAACCAACACTATTTATTAATTCTGAACTCTGTTTTACTGTGAGCTGCATTATGGTCAAAGTTTTAAAAATATGATAGTTTAACTTAACACAAAATATGTTTTGTATTTTCCTAAATACAAAAATTATGTCAATGAGCATAAGACAAAATGAGTTAGTTGGAGTTTATGCCTTACTATTTAGTAAAATGAGTTATACTCTTAAGAATGTTTAGCAAAAAGGATATCAAAAGCTGTATTTACGATGAGGAGAGAATAGTTTCCATACAAATTAAGAGCAATGCTTCCAACTCACATCAGTCAGGATCCAACAGCATAAAATATGGTTCATAGTGATGGCTTTTTTTTCTCTCTCTCTCTTTCTTTTAGGTCCTTGGACACAGGACGAAGAAGAGATCTCCAAATTGGTACACATATTTTGTTGACGAGTCCTAGTTCATTAGCCTGTGCTGACTTATAAAAAAGGGTCTTTGACTTGAACTTGATCTCATGGCTTCCTATAGTAAGGTAATCATGTAATTTTTATGTGAAAATGACCACGGCACTTTTGAAAGTGAAAGGGGACTTAATTACACTAGCCTAACAGGCATAAACAGAAAATGTGCCAGGCAAACCAGAATATTTGGTGGCCATATCATAGGACACATCACAGGTGGATGCCCCATCCTCCACTGCACCCCAAATGATGTCCTAAGATGGTGGTCTTCCAAGTATAGTCCCAGACCAGCAGTTAGACTAGCATCACTTGGCAACTTGTTAGAAATGTAAATTCTGGCCCCAGACCTTTGGAATCAGAAACTCTGAAGTAGGCAGGGCAGCAGTATGTGTCTTTTAGAAACCCTCCCGTTGATTCCAAGGAAGGCTAAAATTTGAGATCCACTGGTGTAAGCCAGTCATAATGTTCATTTCCTTCATCAGTGATGGGTTTAGAAACAGGAAGGCCTAAAGACAGTTTGAGCCAATGAAATATAAAAAGAGGCCAGCTGGAGATTTCTGGAGAAGATAAATCAATCTCTTGTTGAACGAGGGAATATATTGCCTTACCGGTTGAAGACAAATGACTCTGGGAACTGTAGAGCAGACACTTGAAAAGATGCTGGTACCGTTTGGCTGCTGGACCAAGCAGTCCAGAAGTCCATCCAACCTCTGGGTTATGTGAAAGAATTACTGGTTGAAGCTATTTCAGTTTCAACCAGCTTAAAGCATCCTTCTACACCAGCACTCATTCCCACTTGTCTTGAACCTGCCTTTGCACCATTATCTTCTCCCACAATGCCATCCTCTCTTACTTTTCTCCCTTCTATCCCCACCCCCTTTCTCCTGGTCAGATCCCACTCATCCTTCAAAGTCCAGTTCACCGCCTTCCTCATAAAGGCTCTACCCCAACTTGTCTCTTCTTCAGAATTCAGTTTCACTTGTTTTCTGAACCACTGATCTGTGTTCATCATATACCACCTCTTACTGCTTTGTCTCCTGTCGAAGTGCCTTAGCATGTGCGAGGATGTAGCCCCTGGCATTGGGTGTAACACTCCAGGATGCTCAGGAAGTATTTGATGTAGATGGTGATTCCACTGGTCCACAGAGATGAGGGATGTGGTGTGGCAGCAGTTTCTGCCGCTGTTAGCAACCGCCGTCCGCAGGTCACAGGCGTCCCTTGACGATGACCGCCACATCACGCCTTGCCTTGATTCCAACTCTATTCCCACCTTGGCCTAAAGCTAGAGTTAGACACCTTCATGATCTCCATGAGCCAGAAACTCCAGGAGCAAAAAGAGATACCAGGTTAACGCTCACACAGAACAGGACTTCATGGCACCGAGGCAGGTCTATGCAGTGAGTAGGAAATGGAGCTGCCGGACCATCACTAGCACCCTTCTTGGCATTTGCTTTCTTCAGAAACTGGATACCACCAACCGAGTTGTACTGGCGGCAGGAAGCTGAGAGTGAGGATAGATGTGAGCCAGAGGTTACTCTGGCCTCTAAGAAGGCAGCATAGCTTACTATTTGAGGATGTGGGTTTTAGAATCAGAGCACCTGGATTTGACTCTCCGTAGAGTAGCTGTCTACTTATAATCTTGGGCAAGTTGTTTGACATCTCTGACTCTCCATTTCCTCATCTGTAGAATGGGGATACTAATCATACCTCATTTTCCGACATGAAATCAATAGGATCGGGTATGTAAAACATTTAGCATCACTCCTGGTACGCAGGAAACACTCAGTAAATAGTAGTTCTTCTTAGTGACCCAGCCTCTCCGTGGCCCAGTGCTGGCTTCCCTCCTCCCTGGGGATGTGGGAGGAGGAGGGCCTGACACTTCCCTGTTCATAGGCAGGGCAGTGAGTGAATAGTGAAGAGAGGAAACTGGAATCTTAAGTGCAGCTCCTGGCTTCCTGCCAGCACGGCAGCTGTGGTTTAGCATCTGAATATAAAACCGACCCATGTCCTCCTCAGCACAACACTTCTTCACCCCACCTTCCCCAGCCACCACCCTCACAGAGAGTCACAGGCAAAGCAAGCAAGTGCTGTGGTTGATATGAACTCCTTGCATTTACCCAGCACTTTGCAGTTTAGAAAGTCCTTTCCCATCTTTTCTCTCATTTGGCCCCCATGCCATCCTAGTGCTGTAGCCAGGGATTGCCCTTGTTAGCCCCATTTTACTCGTTAGGAATCAGAGTGATTGGGTGACTTGCCAAAGGCTGCAGAGTCAGGAAGTTACAGAGCCAGGACTCAGAGAGGCTCTGACTCCAACTTAGTCATCGGCCCACTCCCTTCATGGCCCATATTCCCTGCACATGGAATCAGGTTTTCCAAAGAAAAGCATAATTCATATGTTCTACGGGTAACATTATTTCAGCCAAATTGTCAAATAGAGAAAAACTTCTCACCTCTCTCTCCAGGATCCTTTGCTTAATGTCCAAGTGTGTATATGGTTCCCAAGAAAAAGAGGGGACAGGTCTGCATTCAGTTAGTTATGCAGAAAGTATTTACTGTCATGCCTTAACCCTAAGCAGGAACCAAATCCTATTTCACTTGAGTGTTTGCCCAGATCTCAACTTCTTATGTTAATTCAAACCAGAGTTCCCATATTTGACTATCTGTCATGGTTCTTTTCTTTCCCTTCATATTCAAAGAAGGAACCTGAAGTGTTTATGAAAACTGCAAGAGGACAAAATCAGATGGAAAGATTTAGAGATCTAGGGTCAAAACAGTGTGAATTCACTGCAACAGGGAAGGATTCCAAGCACTTGTTTGAAACAGAGAATCTTAGTGTGAATCACGTTAAGCAAGCAACTCTGGTTTGGGACAGCTGATTCTTGTGCAGAAGTCTTGTTCTCAGACTGGCTAGGAACTGAAAATGTGGCCACCAATGGAACAACCAGTCTTAGTCTCTGAGCCATCCATACCCACTACTCTAAGTGGTGTAGAGAGCCTGGACTTCAAGATCTTACAGACCTGACTTAGAATCCTGCTTCTGAAATTTCCCAGTTTTGTGACCTTAAGTAACTTCCCTAGCCTCTCTGAGCTTTGATTTCTTTTTCTCTCTTTTTTTTAGGATTTTATTTATTTACTTGAGAGAGAGAGCGCACAAATGAGAGGGAGAACATAAGCGGGGGAGAGGGGCCGAGGGAGAGGGAGAATTAAACTCCCTGCTGAGCAGGGAACCAGACATGGGGCTCGATCCCAGGACCCCAGGACCATGACCTGAGCTGAAGGCAGCCACTTAACCAACTTTGGTTTCATCTGTAAAACGGGAGAGTAGTACCAACCTTCCAGATTGGTGGGAGGATTATGTTATCCAATTTAAATAGAATACCTGGCACCAAATGGGTGATTAATAAGTGGTAGGGATGACTTCTTAGTTTAAGCAGTTAACAAGAATTTTCTAAACAGCGTTTTCTAAACAATATCCTTACAGATAATATAATTTAATGATATCAAAAAAATGACAAAAAGCCATTGGTTATTCTCAGCCCAAACAAGCCCTCCCTGGCCTCCATCAGGCTCAGCCAGCTACTCAAGAAACTCAATTATTTGCAGACAAAAGATTCTGCATCTCCATGTGACAAGATCACTTTAGGATTTAACATCAGATCTAGGCTGCTCAAGTCATTCATTCCTGTATCACATTTACTTGATGTGGTCAGCCTGATGTCATCCCAGCTCTGCCATTGACTATTTGTTTGAACCAAGGACTAATTGGAACTAACTGGCAAGTTCCAATTTCCTCGTCTGCAAAGAAGTTTGGACGTACAGTAAATTTTCTGCAGTCTCTACCGATTCTTTAAAATTGTGATTCTGAAATCTAGAAAGAATCCTGCCTTGACTGCTTGGTGAATAGGTAGTGAGAACTAGAAATTGTATTCCCGTAGAACAGAAAAAGAAATGGAGGTTCAGACGAGACAAGTAACCCACCTAAAGTTATAGAACGAATAAGGGGCAGAACCGTGTAGTCTTCTGTCTCCCCACCCCGTGATTCCTCGCCAACCCATCATCTTAAACAACAAATCATTACCGATTGTCCAGCATGTACAAGGTGTTGTGACTGCCTCTAGTTGCCTAACTGGTTGCTTCCACCAACGCCTGGCAGAACAGAAACCAGAACCTGCAGCCACCCATCCCATGATCAGTGCCTTGCACCCCTGCACATAGTGTGATGACTGGGAACTGCACTTAGAAACTAACACAAAATGTGAAGTCATCGGAAGGCACAAAACAGCAATTAATAATTCTATTCGGTGTTACTCCCTTTCTTCTAGAATGTTAGCTTTACAAATGCTATCGTAGATTTTCCTCTAAGGCAGCTTCAATGATGTGACCCATTTCCTTGTGTGAAAAAGGCTCAAGAATATTGGAACTCATTACTCGCCTCAAAGAAGAAAATATTTTGTTTGGCACAATGTCGACTGTTGATCCACAAGTTCAACCTGACTATTCTACTTAGAAGAAGCACAAATGAGTTTAGCTCCACAAATTCAGGGTCTAAAATATTCTGGCCAAATCCTAAAGAAATTGGCCCCCTTACAAGTGAAAATTCCAACCAAAATGAAAAACACTTTGCACAGAGGCCATACTGTATGTTTTTAGAGATGATGCCAGGGCCATGCTGAGGGTTTTCAGAGTTGTGCAATGGTAGCACTTTCTACCCATGATCTGTCATACTTCTAATTAATTTTTCCCATTGTTTGGTCTTTTTACCCAAAGTAGCAAGTTTCTCAGGTCATGAGGGAACATATGTTGGTGTCTAAAGTTATTCTGTTGGGGAACGTGGGGATAGGGCCAAGTAGGCCAGACTCTTCTGGCAAGTCTGAGCCTTCCGTCCCCTCTTCCTCTCCCTCACAAGCCAAATCCCAGAAGCCAAGCAAAGAGGAGCTTGAGGCGTGGCTGTAAGAGAGGCAAGAGTACTGAGGCGCAGTCTGGTATCTGCCCCCTTCCAAGACCAGACCCGGGCTAATTTGAAGTTATCATACCCTCCAGCTATGTCTTCTGCCAAGATCTATATCTGTGG